GGTGTGCCTGCGGAGCCGCGTTGCGCTGCTGCCGGTGTAGGTCAGCGAGCAAGCCTGGGAGGCCTGTTCAGTCCGCCCGGCAAAGCAGATCGAGGTTACCGCCGTGCCCTGGCACCGCGGGGCACCAGCTGGGCTGGAGGCTTGCTCAGGGCCTTTCCAGTAGTCCCAGTCTGTTAAGGTCAGGAGAGTTAAATAAAGATACATCTGGACCGGGAGAGAGTAAAGTCCTCTACGCAAGCTTAAATTTTAATCTAAACGTAGAACCTCCTGCGTGTTGAAGTGCAGACTGCCCCGCGTGTTTGTGAATGGCCTGCAGACACTCAGCTCATCCTGCCCGCCGGAGGGGTCTCTCCCTTGCAACTGCGGCAGCCCCTTCTGCTGTCCCCTGCCTTGAACTGTATGCGCCCAGTTTCCACCAAAACTTAAGGGTTCCTTCTTTGCCCACCCCAGAGGCAATCTGCAGTAAATCAGTCTACAATATCAAATACAAATCAATCGACAGTAAACCTGACAACATTCCTCGTATTTGTCTCTTGAAATATTTGTATCCCAGATCAAACAGGCTACAGTTACCGGAGGGAAACCTGACAGTGCTGTATCTCTGCCTAGATTGAACTCTCACGCAGCTAGCTCTGCTGTATTGACTGATGTAAGCTGGGAAATCAACAAACCTTAGATTCACACCTGTAATTTCTTGTAACATCTTAATCCACCATCTTAAACAAGAGCCACAAAACTGATTAAAATTTACATCTTGCTTTCGATGTAAGAATGTAAACTTGGTTTTCCTTCTGTGTTTCCATATGGGCAGGTCTGGCTGCCACCCTCACCTACAAAGTCGCTTTCAGATTGATTTCACTGGTATCTAGAGGTGACCAGAATTTTGCGTTTTCAGACTAAATATTAGAGTTTCATTACTTGACACCTTTCTGAATGTTAGATCTGAATGTCTTTATGGCATCCCAGGAGATGGGAGTTGACATAACCCATAAAAAGACTGACGTTATTGTGCCATATATTACTAGTGGAGTGCAGGGGTTTTTGGCTGTTACCTGCTTCTGCTTGACAGTTGCTGGTCTGAACCCTGTGCCCCTGGTCATGTCTTCCTGCTGCCCTGGCTTGATCCCTTATTTCCGGTCTGTGTTATAACACATCCAGCCCTGAAAACAAATATCAGAATGTGGTCATGTCACGATCCATGTGGTACAGCTGATGGTTCTGGGCAATTTTAGCACTGCTGTGAGC